CTGGACCAGTGTGACACAGGTTGAGGACAGCACCCATCTCATCAGCAGATCCAACAAGTGGTCACTTCCACTGGTGCCAACACAGCTTCTCACAGCTGCTTATGAAATGGAAACACATGAGCTCCATCCAAGACAATTTGCTAAGGCAAAATCATCACTTTCTGCAGAGCTGGATTTCAAATCTAAGTGTAAAGGTCTGAGAAAAGGGTTTTCAACTAGGACACTAACTGCCTTCATGAGAACATCCCAAAGCACAAGGAAGAAATAAGAAGTAGCAGGCTATAGGGATTCTGCTAAGTCTAAAATGAGTTATTTCTACAGCAGAGTAGGATGTCTGAACTCTGTAGCTTTCAAAATAACAAGATTACATTGTGACTCTCCTATGACAAATAATTTATTTTCATCAGTCAGGATACACTGCACTTAAAAACTAGGCATGTTCATTGGAAACCTTTCTAAAAGGCAGCAATAACAGCAAAGAAATCCCTTCTTGATCTTCCTAAATTTTTAATGTGTTATGATTAAAAATATGCAAACTCAAGGCTTTGAAAGGAACTATCAGATTCATTTCTATTGAGCCTACTCTTCATCTGGGGTCTTTTCCAAAGTTTATGGATAAGGATAAAAGAAGCCTTCAATCAATAAACAGGAAATTTTAAAATCTTTAAAGCTACAGACAAAGCAGATTAGGAAGGTGGAAATTAAATTGGAGACACTCACCTCCACTCTGCTGACTCAGATATAAGCAGGACAAGAAACATAATGCAATTCCTCTCTTCTACAAACACAAATCCACCTAGGGACAAACAGTTTACATCTACCAGCCCCAGAGCAGGGTCAGGGCTGAGAGCTTCTCCTTGATACCCTACACCAACACTCAAAATGCACTTTCCCCCTACTACTTCAATCTACCCCACACCTGCTGGATGGACAAACGTGTACTTCAATGAAATCATCTGCTGAAGGAATAATGGTAACACCAGACTCGTTGCCTTTCATTGCACATCAAACATCATTCCTGCTGCAGAAAGAGCTGGAATAACACCCAAACTACCTTAGCAATTTTCAAAGTGAGCTTTCGCTCCAAGTATTGACCCACCATTCATTCCGTTGTACAAACTCCTGTGGTGAGGGGACAGCTCATCTGTCACTTGTCTCCTGAGGGTCCCTTCTCTGCTGCCTCCGCTGAGGTGTTTGAGGTGCTCTGGGCTCCCTCCATAGTGCTGTTTGAGGTGCTCTGGGCTCGTACCCCTCACCTTGTGCAGGTGCTCTGTACTTCCACTGGGCGTGTGCTTTTGAAGGTGATCTGGGCTGCCACCGCTGTGCTTTTGGTGCTCAGGGCTGCCACCAGGCCTCTGCTTTTGAAAGTGTTCAGGACTACTACTCAAAACGTGCTTTGGGATAGTTTCTGGACTGCTGCTGCTGTGCTTTTGTTGCTCAGGTACTTTGACAATGGTTTTGTGGTGCTCAGGGCTCGGCCCTTTCAGGTGATGATCAGGACTGCCAGAACTCCTGGGCTTCTGCAGGTGCTCGGGGCTGATACTCCTGTGCTTCTGGTGCTCAGGGCTTCCTTCCCCCCGAGGTTTCTGCAGGTGCTCTGGACTGGTGCTTGGGTGGTGTTTGTGATGGTCTGGGCTGTCTGTGCTGCCCGTGCTGGAGGTGCTGCTGCCATCCCCAACATCTCTGATGTAGGCGCTGGTGGCAGTCAGCTGGCACAGGCTGATCTGGCTGTCGATGGAGCTGCGGCTGCCTGCTCCTCCGCCCTTCTCCTCATCCAGCAGCACACACAACTCCTTCAGCTCCAGGTTCTCCTTCACCACTTCTTCTTGCCTCACTTCTAGCTCTTTCAGCTTCTGCAGGTACAAGGCCACCTCCTTGTGCATGACGCTGGCGCTGTACCTGCCCAGCCTCTGCCACTCGCGGGACACCCTCTTGCCCTTCTGCCGGTCGTCGTCCAGGAAGCAGCAAAGGTCCCTCAGCTCCTGGTTGTCTTCCTGCAGCTTCTGGTTGATGTCCTTTAAAAGAAAGATCATCATGACAGAGGGGTGTCTAGAGGAATTGAGGTTAAACTGTTACACAGGCCAGTGGACAGCACGGCTGCAAACTCACGTTTAAGCACTCCAGTGAGGCATAAATAATTCCATGTGTAGATCTGGCATGTGGTAACAGCCCCATGCTTTGAGCAAAAAAAGCTGCTGTCCAGCAAAAACTTTCCTTAGCTTGGAGCTAATTTCTAACATCTGATACAGCAGAAAAGTTTCAGGCGCTTAATTAATTTTCATGCTAAATATCTGAGTAATTTAGCTCCCAAATTGGGCAAAGATTGTAAGTGCTCTCATGATGATCTAGCTCCCCTGAGAAATATTCACCTGTGAGTTATTGCTAAATAAAAGTGCAAGGTACATCAGAAATTGAAATTTCTCTTAAATAATTAATTATTAACATTTATCCTCTCTACTCCCTAAAGCATAGTCACATATAAAGATGACCATTTTAGAGATTTCTTTAAAGGTAGGGGTTTGCTGGACTTTATTTCTGATTGGCACAAAAAGCCTTGCCAGTTATCACTTGACCAGGACTGCTTCAACCACTCTGAAATGGGGTTTGCTGGACTTTATTTCTGATTGGCACAAAAAGCCTTGCCACTTGACCAGGACCGCTTCAACCACTCTGAAACGAAATAATCTGCTTAAATAGATTCTTTCACCCTTAACAAAATGAAATACATCATTCTATGCCCTTCCCTAAGTGAGGAACAGTCTGAAGCAAATGCTCTGAAGTAAAAATGTTCAGAGTATTACTTCAGCAGAATAAAGGAATTCTCAGTATTTTATCCTTCTAGTTTGGACTTGTGACCATATTTGTCTTTCTCCCTTCATTCTACATATCCATTCCTTATGTATGGCATTACAACCAGAGATGAGCCAAAGCTGTTAAAAAGTCAGTCTTATGGAAACACCATTTCAGCTTTTCTAACTCCACTGGATTTAGGTGCATGAATGGCTGTGTTTGTCTGATTTTTGCCTCTAAGTAACTTGGAACTTTAACAATTTCAACCTGTACTTGACAATGGAAAAAAATCTCAGTGAGGCTTTAAGGTGTCCTTAAAAACCTCAGCTAGCAAGAGATATTTGAAATGATCACACAGTGGAATAAAAAAAGTTGTGGAAGTCCACAACTCCTCAGTCAGGAAGCAGGAGACACCCACCCAGCTGGTCATTCTTACTCATGGAGCAGTGATTTCACACAGGACAAAGGAGGGAAGATCCCAGACACCAACATGGGGCTCAAAAAACCTCCTTGTCCCAGATTCTTTCTGAAAGCTCCAGCTGAGGCATCTGAACAAAAGGTGGAAGTCAAACAAGACTCAAGGAGTTTGGAACTGAGAGAGGAATTTGTGTGTGTTTGGTTTGTTATCTGGAAGATGCAGAAATCCAGATACTTTTGCATGTGACTGAGAGAAATATACTATTGTTGTAACTGAGCTTTCATTTAAAATATAAGCTTCAGTTTTACTCAATATTACTATGGGTGGGTCTTTTTTACCCTCAGACACCACCAAAGGGACACACATTCTTTGCAGAACACAAAAATTTGGGAGGCAGGAACTGTCTTCCCCCACAAGCTATTTATTTTATGCCATGCTATTATCAAAGACATTTTCTCAATAATTCTGTCATTGAAAGCCATTCTACAAGAGAAGAACTCTCTTCTAATGCACTTTCCTGTAATAATTCAAAAGCCCACACTGCATCTCTGTCTCTCCTTCCCTCCAAGCTCACCTCACTGAAGGGATTTCCTGAAAATTCTCAAAGCAATAAGCCAGAAAATGCTCTGTAGTCCTGCCTACTCCAAGGTAACTTTCTAGGTCTATAATCCACAAGCAAGGTACTGCTCTGTAAATAGCCACACTTTCTTCCCAGTCCTCAGAAGTGGGAAGGAAGCATTAGGGACTAAGCTTCTCATCCACCAAGAGAGCGAAATTAAGAACAGATAAGCCACTTGGTCTGCCTCTGACTGCAGCCTGCACGAGCACACAGCTAAGAATGTTTGATCAGAGATGTGTTAGCAGATGTGCTTTCAGACATCAGGGATTGGTTCTGATCATCCCAAACCCGAGCCCAAGGTTTGCCATCACCTGCCACAGGCTGCACTGCATCCTGGAAACGACCAGCTCTCTCCAGCAGCCTGCCTGACAGACTAAGTCTGTCTGAAAATAGTGACAGAAAGCAGCGTGAGCTACAGAAACCTTTATTTCTGTGCACTTCAGGCAGGATCATTTCACCTCGCTCACAACCAAGGAAGTCTAACACAAAGCTGACAAGACTTCAGCGTTTTTATCAGCCCAAAAGAATACCAGGGCAGAGCATAAACCAGCTGTGCCCCACAGCCTGCCGAACAGCTGGTCATCCCTCAGCCAGACAGTTTGATTATTAAGCGGGATCAGACATTATTCACCCCGGTCCTCATCCGCTTTTCATGCGGTTCTGGGAGCGGCTCCTCCCAGCCCATCCACCTGAGGAGACTGCTCCCGGCGGGAGACACCGCACAAACTTCAGGGGTCCCACCCTGCCCTCCCCGCTACCTTCAAGCCGCGGATCTCGCCGAGGTGGAGCTGGAGGCGGCGGTTCACCTCGCGGATGAGGTTGCTGTGGTCCAGCATCGCGCTCATCTTCTCGGCCTCGGCGCGGCGGAGGCTGCGGATCAGCTCCTCCTTGCTCCACTTGAGCAGCTCCTCGTCCGACACCTTGGACAAGTCTTCGGCCGGCGCTGCTCCGCAACTTTCCGCCGCCACTTTGGCCATGGTGGCGGCCCGGCAGCCCGGGGCACTCGCGGAGCCTCCCGGCACTCCCGGGGCCGCCGGGGGAAAGGGCGAGCCCGGAGCCCGCGGGGTGCCCCCGGCTCCAGCGCTGGGCCGGGGGTAACGAGGGAGACCTCTTCTGGCCCCGGGAGCGGATCCTGGGAAAAACGAGGAAAAGGAGGAGGAAAGGGTGTGGAGGAAGCCGGGCCACGGGCTGGGAGCAAACTTCCCCCGTCGAGAAGGAGAAAAAAAAAAAATAGGAAAAAGACCTAGACAAAAGATCCCCGAGACGAGCCCGGCTCTTGCAACAGGTCAGCGCCAGCTGCGTGCGCCCGGTGCCCGCCGCAGCGCCAGGGATGCGCGCTGGCTCTCAGCGCGCCCGCCGCCCCCGGGCTGCGGGATGCAGGGGAGGATGCCAAGCGCCGGTGCCGCGCACCATGGCGGCGGGCAGCACGGGGAACGAGCGGGAGCGGAGGGAGCGGAGCGGCGGGAGCGGAGCGGGCGCTGCCCGGGCGCCCCCTGCCGGCCGATGCCCGCCAGCGCGGCCCGGGCCGTCCCGGGGATGGACACACACCCGAGGGACGGACACACACCCGAGGGACGGACACACGCCCGCGGCCGGGACACACCTGCGGCGGCATCCCGGGCCCGCGTCCCAGCCGGTGAGCGCCGCGCCCCGCCGAACGGAGGCACAAAGGCAGCCGCCCGCGCAGCAACGCGGTGCCTCCGGCGCACATTACATCACCGCCCGGGCTCGGCGCTGCTCGCAGGCACGGACGGGCTCGCACCGAGCCTGGGGCAGCTCCTTCCTCCGGCTGAAGGTCGCATGCCGTGAGCTAAACCCCTCACAGGAATTAGGCTTGGGCTGATTATACACCTTCCTTAAGAATATTCAGCTGCAGTGTAGCAAGAGAGTCACTCACATTCCCCAATTCGCTAAGAGATACAAAGACTCTGCATAAATCTGCCTTGCAGATGATTTGAGAATGAAACTTGATAATCCATTCATGCTGCTCACAAAGCAAGATGAGACGGCGGATCTCAGAGGCAGAGGTGGATGAGCTGAAACTATTAGGTGAGTAATTGGTTGAATCCCTGTTTTTCAATCACAAAGTTCCCCCTGAACAACCCCCCTGCGGGCAGAGGAGGCTGCCTCGCTTAATGGGCCTTTCCTACCTCCAGTTCTGCAATTTTAGAATTATGTAGCATTAAAGAAGATTTCTAGTTCTTGAGGGGAAAATTGAAGTAGTTAATGCCAGCACCGGCAGATCACAAGGTTGTAGCTGGCTCTGCACAGGCAGCTGCAGAACCTGTCCCATGCTGCTGTCCCAGCTGGCTCCCTTGGCATTTTCCTGCCAATGCCAGAGGACCAGCCCAAGGACCATTTTCTGCTCTTAGTCCTGTCCAAAAGCTGCTGCTAGAATGGTTAAATCAAACGCTGTTCCTTTGTTCTCACTGCTAATGCTCTCCTCAAACTTCCAGCTGTACTTGACCACAATAAAAGTTCTCCTGCTCCCATCCATCATGGGCAACACTTGCACTTTTCCCCACTCAAGTCTCCCATGTTATCCCTTCCCAACTGTCATGAAGAGATGTTCTTCCAGCTGGTCCATTCTCCAGCCTCCCAGGCACATGCCAGACACTCTGATTCCATCCAGAATGGGTCCTGGCACAGGAACCCTGCTTGAGCTGCCCTCACAGGTTCAGCCTGCTGCTCAGGATCCTCTGCCCCTGTTCCAAGGAATACCTGGAGGGTGGCGTGTTGGCTCAGCTGCAGGAGGAGCCCCAAAGTCCATCACTGTCAACAAGAGCTCCAACCAAGCCCAGAGCTTTGCCAGCATGAAATCCCATTTCCTGAGCAGCGCCAAGTATTGTGTGAAAATTTTATTTTCTCTGCAAACTCTATCACTCTCTTAAATCCTCTGATTTTTTTTCCACTGCAAACAACAAAGCTTGAGATAAAAGCATTGACCAGCCACAGCAAAAATACAGTAAGAGGCCATGAAAAGGAGCTGTCATCTTTTATGCCCAAATATATTTCATTTTAATGCAACTGAAAAAAGAACAGCTTGGCAGCAATAAATAAAGGCTTTTCTTCTTCTAATTCAGCAGTGTATGAGTTGAAAGGTCACATGATGTCAGATTTTTAAAAGTTCAAATTAATATCCATCCATGAAATAAACAGTTAACTGAAAAAGTCCAGAAGCTTCAGGGAAGAGTGTCCACTTGCCTCAACGTCACCAGTGTTCCTCTGGAGCAGCATTTCACAGTTTGATCACGAGGAGCCATGGAAAGCAGGGAGCTGAGATGAACAGCTCCAGGGGACACCGTGTTCTCCACTAACACGAAGCACCTCCACATTTGTGTCTTCAGTGTTATTTTACAGGCACCTGTGAGATAGGGGAATTCACGGAGCATGGACATTGGGAGTAGTTCAAACTTCAAAGCTCTGGGACAAATGTAGCTCTAATAATGAAAGCAAAAGTGTATCAAGTGAAACTAATCTGGAACATTTCTATAAGGAGAGGATCTAATTTCACATTCACTCACGCTGGTGTAACAAGATCAAAACCAGACTGGGAAGTGCAACATAATTACTCCCATCTCCTGGCAAGTTTAAAACTTTCCTTTTGGACAGCCCACCTCACTGCCCAAATGCCAAGTGCTTCCCTGCTCCTGGGCTTTACCTCAGTGGTGAGGACCGCAACTGCCCCAAAACAAACACTCTGATTTTCACATCAAAGCTGCATTTTTGCAACACTCCCCTGAATAATTCTCATCCACAGCCTGAAATGGAGAGTCTGGGCAAATGAGTTTGGAGAGTGCAGGGCTGGGATTGCTGCAGCCTCTGTCCAGTGGGGATGGCAGCTCCTGTCCATCCTTCCAGCTCCTTCACACCAGGTGCCAAATGCCAGCAGCAGTGTGGATCCACAGCCAACCAAATCTCCATGGCTGACCACGCTTTGCCAGCTCAGTAACATTTTCACTGCTGGGTCCTGCTCATGCCTGGATATGCAGATACCAAGGAATTGTTGCTGGAATATTTCTCTGGCGTATGTTCAAGGACTTGCTTTTCATTGCTGTCTGCAGACCCTCCAGTGCTTTAAATCCCTGACTGATGGGTGGAGCCTCTAAGGATTATTATAACCAATAATAATTATCTGATGATTTTAAACTCTTGGACATTTCCAATGAGGCCCTAAAGCTGTTCAATAGCTCTCTGCCAAAAATATGTCATAGCCAAGTACTTGCCTAGCAGTCATTTTACACAAAGATGGCTAAACTGTTTTTGTTCAGACCTTCCAAAAATAGTTTTGAGAGGAGTTCAGACTTGAAAAATGTCATTCCCAAATTGGAAGGAAGTGGAGAGAGTTTTAAAAATGAAAAGTTCAAGTAATTTTAGTTACAGTTGCTTCTAGATGTTCTTCCCATCAGTCATGTGTCTGTAGCTGTCACCCAACATCAGCTGCTCTCCAGCACAGCCTGTCCATTCTCTGCTCCCTGGGCAGAGCTCCCCATCCCTAAGCAAGGAGAGAGTTCCCCTTCCTCACCTTCCCGTCCTGTCCCTACAGAGTCTCTCTCCACCCAGCCATGCATCTCCTGCCTACCAGTCTCCTGCCTGCCATTGTTCCCTCATTGTGTCCCTGTCATCAGCTCTCTGTCCATCCCTAGGCCCAGCAGCTTTGCCAGCACATTGGCAAAAATGCTTTTGCCTCATTTGGCCGGGTGGATCCCACCTCAACACTTCCTAAGTGTCCCTGACACTCAAAGAAGGTCCCATGGTCACAAAAACCAGATCCCTGCTGTCAGTGCCAGCTGTGCCAGCACTTAGTGGCCACAAGATCCATTCACTCCTCCTCCAGCTCTTTCACCATCACAGGATTCACTTTCCAGCCCGGACTGCCACTCCTGTAGGCACTGTACCAGCATAAATTAGATAATGCATTTTACAATACAACATAGATCAACTCCTCCTAATGCAGTCTCCAGCAGTGTTCAGAGTGTTGGTGCATATGAAGGTTAATAGTCTGACACCAGGCCATCCACACAGTATTCCCTACTTCACTGCATGCCCACTCCCACTGCACAAAGGATGCTATGGGTAATGCCATCCAGCCAAAGCTGCCCACAAACAAAATCCTTCACTCCAGACACCTTTGTATTCAAAGCCTTTACAGATGGAATCCTTGTCCTTTGCTTCTGAGCTGACCCCAGGTGAAAGTAAATGGCTCCTGAGCTGACCCCAGGTGACAGTAAATGGCCAACTCTGAGCAAACCAGACCAGGCAACATGCACTTTTCTCATCCCAGAAATACTTCTGAGAGAGAAAGAAATAAATGTATTTCCAACTAGGAGAAAATGTAAGAGAAATCTAGAAAAAATGTTTTCAAATTAATAGTCTGAAGAGAGGGAGGACACTCAGTTTGAATTAATCACTGAGCTTTTTAAAACTTCAGAAGTTGCAACTTAAACCCCTTTACTTAATTACTTGTAGTGAATAGTTTCTATTTATTCTGTGAGAAAACTAGCTACATAAAAAGTTTTTTCTTCTTGAAATTGTTGAGAAGTTTACTTCCATATTTCAAAATTCAGAAATTCTCACAAAGCAAAGTTTTCTGTGAACTTCTTCCTGCTGCCACCTACACCTTCCTTATAGTCCAGCGACCATGCAAGTGTGTGGTAAGCTGGATCAGCTCTGTGAGTCAATGAAAAAATAATGTTAAAATCCACCATTTATGAACAATAACTGGTTTTCCCTTGGATGGCTGCACTGATCTGGCTCACAGAAGCTGTATGGGATGCAAGGGAGGTGGAAGGAACGCACAAGGCCAAGGATGGAGACAGAGCAAGTCCATCCCTGCTGAGAGAAGTCTGCATTTGGAGCAGACTAAACACACCCTGACTCAGGCAGCCACCAAAGATGTCCCAGAGGAGAGGAGACCAATGGAATGTCCTGCTTAAGCTTAGGCAGTGCCTGTGGCCCAGCCAGACTTGCAGCTTTCTCTTGGAATCTGTAACAGAATGAAAACTCCTGGAAGGTCTCACGTAGGCACTTTGCCTTTTATTTCAATTGCAGACTTGTGTGTGCCTCCTCCAGGGCAAACCCAGGATCCCCAAATCAGGGATTACTCACAGGAGCTGAGTAAGGAAAAGACCTTTTCCTGAGCCAGGAAAAGATACTGCCACTCAAACTGACGGGAAATTGCTTCTGCAGGTGCTGGCCCTTGCTCCTGAACCTGCCTGTTAATCTCAGTGAGGTTCATGTAAATGAACATGCTTCATAACTGCCCAAGGTTAAACAAGTGGGCTGATGGCTGATCCTTAGAGACAATATCAAATATGGAAACAGGCACCTTTCCAACTCAGCAGAAAACATTCCTGAGACAATAACTTAAAGGCATCCATAGATGTTAGAGGGAAATCATTAATTATAACATTTTTATGGGGTTGATTTTATCGTGGAGGGCTTGGCAACTTTTCTGCAGAGCTGACAGTTTGTTCTGGCTGGGATCCAACAGAGACACATAACCAGAGCATCTGTGAGCTTGTTTTAATTGTGCTCCCATTCTTCACTTGGTAACACTGGACTTTGCTTCCTGTTCATACTTGATTAGTGAGTTAATCAGGGGCCAGATGCTTCTTTCCATGGCAATAAAGTACATGGCCTTGTGGTGGGGAGTGAGACAAGGTGCAGGTCCTACAGCATCATCCTTTGCTTCCCCAGCCCTGGAAGAATGCACATTCTGGCACAGAATCTACAGACATGGAGACCTTCTGTCCTCCTCTAAGACATCAATAGAGCTTTAAGCATTTATACCATACTTAGTAAGCACTGGAATGAGATTAAGGCACTATTGATACTTGTTAATAAAACCTTTTTACAAAAAGTGATTACTCACTGCATTGTTTATAAAGCTTTGGGTGCTCTAAGTAAAACTAATCTATAACAGGACAGACCTCCAATGGTCTGTAACACTGTTTTTCATTTAGAATCATCTTAATTTAGCAAAAAATATTTAAATCAGTCACCCGTCCACTCACTCTGGCTGACTCATGGTTATGTGATGGCCTTTTATACCCAGCTCCTTCCCTGGTAGGGCAGGATTTTGTCATTTACAACAGATCTCCCAAAATTTCAGGTTTTGCCTGCAGTATGGTGGGCTCTGTTGTGAAATCATTGCTTATTTATTCACCACTCACTTTGTCACAGAGACATCAGTGTTCTGTTGCAGAAGCCAATTTCTCCCTGTCTCTTGCTGCTTGACTGACAACTTCCACACTGCAGCTCACTGGGAAACAATTCCAGGGACTTCCAAATTATCCAAACTTCCCATCCTAAGGTTTCCACATCTTTACTAGGATTACCTATTTACAGAGAAGCAAAATTAGATTCTTTTGAAGATTTCCCTGGAGTCACTTTAAATACTACACTGGTTTAAAAACACAAACAAAACCATTCATCCAGCTAAGCATGGGTCCTTGAGTACAAAACTGGAAACCCAGTAAGGAAAGCAAACCCTAAAACTAAGGAACACCCACAGGAGACATTTGAGCATCAGTCCATATCAGTCTCGTGTCCTCACTGCAAGCCCAAGTCCATCTCAGCACTTCCCAAAGCCAGTGGCCAGGCCACAGCAGCTGGAGTGCTGCTCTCCACAATGTCCCTCCTTGTGTGGGCTCCAGAGCCAGGACAGCAGCTCAGGAGCAGCTCATTCCCTGACAAGTGAACCTGTAATGCTGCCCTGCCAGCCCTAAGCCAGCCTTCATCTGAGGGGTGCCTAGCTCTGCACAGCCCCTGCTGTAAGGAAGAATTCCAAGACAAAAGCTCTTTAACTTTCAGATAATAAAAGGCAGCAGGAGTAACACAACCTCTCCAGCAGATGTGGCTGTGATAACATTCATTTCCTTTATACCAGCTGCAACTCTGATAATTCCCATTTCCTTATCCCTATTCTTTAAAACTGGGTGCTTTTTTTTTCCCATTCCTTTTTAATTAAAAAACAAACAAACAAAAGGAAAAGAACAGAACAAAAACCCAACAGCAAGAACAACAAAACCCTCCAATGTTTGGGCTCCTATGAAGTGAAGCATTCAGAGCTTATCTAATGGAACATGGCACTTCCTATTGAGTGCATTCCCTGTGCTGCTCCAGCAGTTCAAAAACGACTGCAATATTTCCTAGGAAATATTTATATCCCACATGTGAGCAAGCCCTGGGTCTCCAGCTCACTGGCAATTCCTCACAGGACTCTGGTGGAAGCTGGCAATAACAGGGGTGAGGGAGCTGGCTCAGAGCCCTTTGGGCTCATGCACAATGTCCCAGTGAACACAGAGCCTCACCAGGACAGCAGACACCTTTTGCCAATTTTTAATTGCTATCTACAGATTAGTTTTTTATGAGAAAAACCAGACAAATTGCCAAAAAAAGGAGAGTTAAGGGTATGGCAGTAAAACTATCACAATGTCTGGTGGAGCTCTAAGTTTCAGCTGGAATTAAAGCCCAGCTGGATCTAAAGTCATTGCCTTCACATCAGCTGGAAACTACAGGACTGCAGAAGGAAGCTGCCTGCTAACAGATAAACTGTTCACTTGCTCCAGCCCTGTGCAGACACCAGTGGCTGCAGAAACTGATTAATTATCAGCTCTGACAGTGCCATTCAGGATGGAATAAAGACTGCAGGGTATTGTCCATGCTGAGCCTCACTTACTCATTTGCACTGCAATAGCACCTGAGACCCCAGCCACGGAGTGGGATCCCTTGGAGCTGGGGCTGTAGAACCCCTAAAGGAGAGGCCTGTCCTCAATACAGTCCATAAAAAGACAGTGCCCCCAGAATTTACGAGATACACCTTTAGACCTCTGGTTCCTGCAAAGGAAAGGGGCAGACTTAGTTAAATCTGAGTGTCCCATTTAACATGTGGACATTTCTCACTGCAAAGCTGCACTGGCATTAAACTAAAGAAAGAAAAAAACACACATTTATTGTCAGTTCAGCAAACAGTAATCAACTGAACATTTACCATCACGTCATGCAGTAAGGCTTTGAAGTTCTTCTTCTGGTTTCAGGCCACTGAGATGCACCTACACCCCAATGTATGCAGTGCCCCTCTCGGAAGGAAGGCACACAGTAATTGGAAAGGCAGCTCATGAGGTTACTGAATGAACATCCCCACAGATCACCTTCCTCTGCAACCTTCATCTCCAGGAACACACTCCTTAGTTTTTCTGCTGATTCCTCTCAGCAGGAAAAATCCATTAAATATTTAATTAGGTTGTGTTCAATATATTAGGTAAGTGAACCACTCTATCTAGTGCTAACTTTACATGCTGCATCATTACAACACTGTGCTGCAATGATATGCACATTATTGGAGATTTTGTCTATTTGCTTATGAACAGGAACAGCAAAACAAAAAGGAACACCCAAATCAGGATTTCTATTCTAAGCATCCTCCTTTGAGCTATTATTACTTAATCAATTCCAGAGGAGATGCATGAACTCAGGAAACTGGGCATTGGAGTGAGGGGTTTTTTGGCTTGTTTGAGTTTTTAAATGGAGCAGGAATTAGAGAAAAGTAGAGAAAATCCTTGTGTATGGCTTGCACAGCCACAGGCATGACAGACCAGAGTGGAAACTCTAAACTGAATGAAACAGAGAAGGCAACTTAGCAATTCCAAGAAATAAGATTTAATCTAAGTAAAGCACAAACCATTCCTTGAGAATGGCCAGCAAAATCCTGCTGACCTCAGCCACTTCCCAGCAATTTGGGATGAGACACACCATAATGTTTGGAATACACAGGGAGAGGAAAGAGAATCTCATTGCTGTACATTTTGTCACGGCTGAGGTATGAAAAATGCCAAGGGCAAGTGGTTCTGGAAATAAACTGATACACTGCAGTTGAAACAATTGTTTCCAACAAGGAAATATTGGACACCAAAAACCCCACCCCCCAATCTTCAGAGGATGAGCATTTTCTCTGTTTGTAGCACTAGATAAACAATGTGCACAAAGATCTTTGCACAGCAAGCTCCTGCAGCTTCGGCACCATGTGAAAGCAGGGAGGATCCAGCCCTGAAGTGAGATTCCCTAGGCTGGCTCAGCCAATGCTCTCCAAGGCTACAGAACAGATTGCAGCTTTCTAATCTCTGTGCACAGGGACAGTTGGGCTCAGTCCTGAAGCACTGGGGATATGATGCCACCACCCAAGACCCCAGAACTGACCAACAGAAAGTTATGATTACAAAAGGAAACAAACTTCACTGATTTTTCATAGGAATTCAGTGCTACGGAGGCAGAGACCAGTTAGATATTTTAGAATTTGTCCCAAAACTCACTGGCTCCAAAACATAATTTTCCAATATTTGCAAATAGTTCTGGACTCATAACCTGCTCAATCACTTCTTACCAACCTTGCTCCTCATCTCTTTTTAACAGCAGAATGACATTTAGACAAAGAAAATGACAGAAACAAATTAAAAGAGAGAAATAGCTAACAAAAAATAATTAGGGGGAAAAAAAATCACATTGTCTGCTTTTTTCTCTTGTCAACTAAAATCCTCACACAGTTGCAGTTATCCAAGTGGTACTTCCTTATGTTGCCAAAAATGCAAAGATGTTAAAGAGAATTTTGCAAGTCAGCCATGTGTCAGAAAATTCCAGCTGATTGAGCTTTGATAAATGTCTTTTTAAAAAGAGCAAATGTGTTTGCATTCTTTTTACCACTACAACGCCTTTTTTGTTTGGTGGGAGATTTTTTAACAGTGGTTCTTATAACCATTAAAATCAAAACACTTGGAAAAAATGCAGAACACAGAGCCCTGTTGCAAACAGGCACGGGAAGATGTGCAGCTGAGAAATTACTTTTGGAAATAAAGCAGGTTCTGGAACTGGACCATCTTCAACTTCACACAAACCCAGAATATCCCTGATCTATCACAGGGGCAGGGGGAAGCAGTTTGGACCAAACTGAAAGGAAAACTTCCAAAGGTTTTCTTCCAAGAGGATCAGATGTTGATGCTTCCCTCAAAAGCAGCTATTTATAAATAAATAAATAAATAAGGCTGAATAGAAACAGTTATTTTCCATACAACCTTCCAAAGCTCAGACAAGAAGGAAGGACAAAGTCAGAGGGTTTCATCATGATTAGAGACATAAAAAGAAAAGAGAACAAACTACAACCAGATCCTGTTAAAGATACTATTGCTTTAAAGACAACTCCCCTTCTTCAAAGGGTGACAGAAATGTGCTGGTCCCACAGGGAAATTAAAAACCTTCTCATCTTTGTGCTATAATCTTGTTTCTTGTCTTCCAGGACATAAATCACTGCTCAGCCCCTGACACATCCCTCTGTAGCAATTCCATCAGCAGGCTGGGCTGAGCCTGTGCCAGCCTGGCCCTGAACAGGGAGCATTTTGGGGGAGAGGGAAGCCATCAGATGCAATGCTCATGCAGGACAAACCTCAGAAGATTTCTGTACCAATCTGCACCAACAAGGCACAATCCTGATTTGGATGGATGGGCACTGCAGCTGCTGGCTCCGCCAGGATTCTGAGCACAGCCCCTGGTATGAAATCATCTTCGCCAAGTTCACATCTCAATAATCCACTTAAAATGTACAAGAACTAATTAAACTTAGTGGATAATGACAGTAACAATAGTCCAGAGTAATTTCTAGCACTTTCTATCTTCAATGCACTTTACAGGCATTAACTAATTAATGGATAACACGAATTAAAAAATCAATGCATGAGCATAGCATATGATTAGAATTAACATTTCAATTACTCTCCTTATCTGACCACTACATTTACAAAACACTTCTCACTTCTTTGCACGTGTGTGTAATAATTAGAAAGGATCCTGTAAAACTTATTACAAAGCAATTTTAGAGTTTCAGAGCTGTCCTGTACACTGAGAACTCACATCTACTCTCCTATTGTCCCTGAAATTCTGCTTTTTTAGCTATTTCCACAGATCTGTGTTTCTGTAATCCCTTTTTCCTGAAGCTTTGCTCATGCACAAGGGGTACTGTGAAGTTCCTGCAGCTACTGGAGTGCTCACACCCAGACAGAAAAGCTGCATTTGGGAAGCTCCAGGGACCAAATCCCACTGCTTCTTCCCACATGGCAAACACCCCCAGCAGATACCTGGTGAGTGCAGCCCTCACTGATGCACCACAAAAATCACCTCTAGTGCTAAAAGCAGAGCAGTGCAGGGCTCTCCATGGGCCAGCTGCTCTGGATCTGCTTCACAGGACATTTCTTTTAGCCAGAGCCTTCAGACTGCACCACAGCAGATTAAATTAAATACAAGTGTATCTGTGCAGGGGCCAAACGTGGAAGTCTCCCACTAGGAGGAATTGAGGCTTTCAGAAACACAAAACAAAGACACATTTTGGCAACTTGTCTTGCCCTGCTGCCAATTTAAACCTTACAGTTTAAAATTACTTCCTTTCAACATCTGTTGTTTTTGTGGCAAACGGATTGACCTTTGTGAGAAGGGAAAAGTTCCTTCTGGGTTTCTTTGCAGCCCACTGGCCTGCAGGGATGTCAGTGTCTGGATAACTCACAGTTGTTAGATTTTTCCAACAGTTTTTGAGGGTTTTCAGGTACTAAACCCAACCCCAACTAACAATCCCCAAAGCCACGAGGAGCCACACACATTAGCTGCCACACACAGCCTGCAATAAACAGAAACCTCCCACAGCTGACAGGGTGAACACATTTGCCTTTTCTCCAAAACACCAATTTGCAGCATTTCCCCTGCTGGTGCCTTCCTCCCACTGCCCTTCCCATCTTGCAGTTTGTCCTCCTGCTGTTCCACGCACCTTTTTAATGAAAATTAATTCATGTTGCAGCATTTTCCCTGCTAGCTGTGTAGGCTGAGCCTGCCTTTGCTCTGCTGTTCTCTGCCCTCCTTTATGGACCAGTGCAAACTGCCCAGCCAGAGTTTCCTGCAGAAATCCCTTTTTTTCCCACACATCCCCATATAACTGTCGAGTGTTACAGTGTGGAGAGCCAAAAGCATTTCTCCAGCCTGACAGCTCTTGAAAAAGTTACTTCTTTCAAAAGACTTCTCTGCTCCTGTCTGACTCTTCAGGTTGAGCTCTGAGCAGCTGGTTGCTGTTCCAATCCCCTTCTCCTGGTGCTGGTTACATGTTCCCAGTCAATGCAATCAATAGCACACTCCTCATGTTTGCCTGATTACATAAAGAAATATAGATCCAGTGCTTCCAGAGCACAGGTTGAGGTGACAAAGGGGAGCACAGCAGTGAAAGCCAACAGCAATCACTCAAACCCTGCTGAATAAAGTTCTTACAAATAATTCAATTATCAGCTTCCTTTTCCCATTTAAATTCATTAAATGCCCATAAACTTCAAAGAGGAAAGGCCAGCACTGATTTTAATCTTGCTCATTACCTCTCCCGCTTCTGACTAATAGGGCTGCAAATATTCATTCTCGTGTTAATTATTTTTTTATAATGTTATTATTCTTTAAAATTGAGCCTTTCTTTAATTTATATAGAAGCTGGCTGGTGAGGTCTATATACTGAATTTTCCAGCCCATTGGATTTTACTTTCAGCCATGAAAAAGCTGTGCAACTGTGAAGACAAGTTTCAATCTGATCACTCCATAAAAGAGTTTCTGGACACTGCGCATGGAAGAACTGTGCTAATAAAGTTTTCTGAACCCTGAATGGAAATTCTCATTGGAATTCTCATGAACAGGTCAATCCTAAACCCTTACTAGTAAGTGTGGGGAATATTTTACAATTTTACAATAGCATTAGTGAGGCAAAAGGGTTGAAACTGGAAAAAACCCCCAGCACCATTACCGCCACATGAGCCAGAGCTGTGCAGCTAGAACATTTGGTAGCCACAATGTAGGAATCAGATTCAATGACAGAATTTTCCAAGCAAACAGAAGATGGAAGAGCTCCAGGTACTCTGACATGGAGCCCACCCCAGGAATCCCCCTGAATCCATCCCTGTGTGCCACTATCACCCTGTGACCTCCGAAGAGGATGATGAGGGAAAACCCAATTTCTACAGCACAGGAAAATGTTTGTGGAAGAGCAGCAATGAGTCCCATCTCGGGAGGCTGGGGAGAGCTGGAGAGGGACATTGTTCAGAGCCTAGGAGATTATTTTAGACAAGATTCAGGCACTGGCCCAGAGCACAAGGAAATTTCCACTGCTGTTGGTACTGTACATCATTGGGATAAATAAAGGCTTTCCTAAGCTATCCTCTCCCCATTGCCTTTCAGAAGTACTGCAGTCACAAAATCCAGCAAAAACTTAAAGAATGCAAAGTATTTCTCTTCTATTAAAATATTCTAAAGCAAAGAGGTATCATATGGAGCAACATTTCATAAGAAATTACAGCCTCATAAGTCTGCTTTTTGCTTTTCCATTTAGCACTCCTACCCACCTGCTCTCCCACCCACACACCCCCAGCATTATTAATGCTTATGAAAGGCCATAAAGTTTTCATAATAAAGAAGGGTTTTGTCCATTATCTAGAGAATAATGTGGTTCCTTCAACATGCTCCCTTGGGGAAAATAACGTTTGGGTCTGCTCTAACTAGATGCTCTTTCTTGGGCCAATACAACCTGATTTTCTTTTGGATTTATAGAGTACCAAATAGTTCTGCCTGGAGACACTGCTTTTCATTGAGGGAGTGTCAGGTGTGCTGCTTGTGGTACATCATCATCCCATACTATGTGTTGTTATGTGTAGAACAAGATGTATCTTTGATCCTAAAAGCTGAATCTGTGGGTTTTATCTCATTACTGAAAATGAGATTGCTAATGCCCAGTTTTTGTACATAAAATCTACTTAAGGATATGCTTTGTTGCCATTTATTGGTTGTTTCTGGAAAGTTCTTGATTAGCCAGAAATTTGGTAATGTCATTAAATCACACACTTGCAAAACAACCTAAATAAGCATTTGCTTGTGTTAAGGTTAAGGCCAGGCTACAAATTTGAAAGTCAGTGGTGGAGCCAGGGATTTCAGCTGACAGTGCTTTAATATCTACAAGCTTAATGCTATGGTAAAAAACAGCAGGAGCAGTCCAGGCAGGAATGCTTGGCAGAAGGGAGAAGCAGCTCTCAAGGCAGCCCAGTGCCCTCTAAATGCAAACCAAAGTTTGGATGTGTCCGTGGCAGGGAGCTGACACTGGCACAGAACAGGGAAGCACTGGTACAGTGTCACACTGTGAAACTCATGGTCACCTTCAGCATCACCTAAAGCCTCCAAGTGGCTGACGAGGGTAGCCAGCCCTCTGTTATTCCACTTGATAGAGACCAAGACTAGAAGAAGCCAGGCACCAGTAACTACTTGTGTCAAGGCTTTTCAGAGCCCTCAGCAAGTAACTAGCAGGGAGGGGACAGTCCCCTAAGTATCACTCCCCCAGCTGAAATAACCAATTCCATAGCAGCCTCATCTGTCCATGAGAAGTACTGCATGGGAAGTAGGGAAACAGCAGTGGAGTGACTTCAGTCAGCTCAGTGAACTGCATGCATTTATTATTTAATAAACATTACTTGGGGATAAGCAGACAAACAAACCAACCCCGGATCTACTCATTGAAAATTTCAAAAATAATTAATATGAGCACTAGATTTGCAGAAATTAGACATAAAGCATCAAATAAAACATAATAGTACTGAGGAGACTAGAGCTATATTCCTCTCTGGTTTTTACATAGGTACATCCAATACAGCTTAAATAAACTTGCTCTGTACCTGTCTGTGATAAGAAATGCTGACCCAGACTTTTCTTCCCCAGCCTTTGCCACTTATCCCGATGTGCCCACACGGAGCCGGTCGCTCCAAGTGCTCCATGGGACGAGTGTGGGTCTGAGAGGATGGCTCAGCCCTCCAGAACCCTCTGGATGCATCCCCAGCTCACAGAGCCCCGCCTGAGGGCTCCCTGCTTCAGGCCAGCCGTGCCACGGGGCACACAGGGCAAATCCAGACCTTTCGTGGCTGTGTGTTCCCATCAGAGAGGGCTGGAACAATGTGTGACTTCAGCACCCAAACCAGAGACCAAGGCTGGGAGCAGTGGGAGGGCAAACCTGTGTGGGAAAAACTGCTAATGGAGCACAGGGTGCCCTAAAAGAAATCCCTTCTGGATTAACTCAGTCGGAGACAGTGAGAGATGACCGGGCATCTCCACTGAGGGGAAGATGTTTCCTCTGGGGCTGAGAGCTTGGCTCTCCCTTAGAGAAACTTAAAAATAAGGAGGGATAAATGCGGGTGACATGTAACACGGCACGTGGACATTGTCCACAGTTCAAAACACCTGCAGCCTGCCCGGCGGCTCCCTCCTCAACCACATCCCCCTCACGACTCATCCCTGTGTCCCACAGAGCGGCGGGAAAAGGCGGGAAGGGCGCTGCGGCCGGCAGGTGGCGCCCGCACACAGGTGGTGCCTCAGCCCAAAGGACATCGGCACGTATAAAATACAAATTATACACTTACATAAATATCTACATCAGCACTCCCCCGGC